AAGTGCCTTGCTTTTCTGTTGATACACTCAAGAGATTTTCACTAAAGAAAAACAAATAATTTTTTAAGTTTTTTTTTTATATTTAAAACTTACACTTTTTTGTAATTTTTATTGATTAAACCTGAAACATATCATTTTTGTAGGAAATTTCTATTGTTTTATTTATTACTCAGCTGTAAAAATATTTTCTAGTTATAAAAATATTACCCAGTTATGATTGGTGATGATCGGAATACATCAAGCGCGATTATAATAAGATTTTCTTTTGATATTCATCCTGCTTGTTGTTTTTATATAGACCTAGGAAATTCAAGTTACCGTCTTGTTTTTATACCGTTCACTAACAGTGTGATTTACACATTGCATCGTTTTGAATATTTTTTATTGTTAGAACATTCTGTGTGAAGAACTGGGTTAAATTAATAGGGCGAAATTACTCATTTTCTATGTAAAAACAGAGGAAACCCCCAAAATAATTAGTGGAAGTAATCGCAATATTAATAGTATTTTGGGTTTAAATTTTTTTCTGTGTAACTCATGTATTATCAGGGCATTATTTATTATCATGTATTATTTGTAAGAACAAATACACGGACCCGGCCAATAATTAATTTGTTGCATAAATAGTAGTTTAGAAAAAAATATTTAACAAACTGGGGAAGTTCCATCGCTAATTTTAGGGATAAGATATGGATTCCGGGATACTCAGAACGTAAAAAATGCAATTACAAATGTATTAGAGCATTAACAATTTATTTTACATCAAATATTAAGTTGAAGATTTTCAAAGTATTATGTGTTCATTCAAATATTTTTTTTAGTGCCTGAGAAATGTATTCATTTATATGTATTATTATATAACATAAATAAAAATTGAAGTTTCGCTAGCTTGAGGTCTTGTAACGCTAAAAAAAATTGGGCTTCGATACACGCAGTAGGCACAGTACAGATAGCCCATTGTGTAGTTTTATGCTTAAACATAAACAAGTTAATCAAAAATTCAAGCTGAACTAACACCACCATAAGTGGGTTTTATTCTTACGTAGAGCAGCAACTAACAACAAAAATCGTTGCACAACTGAAGCATCACGACAGGTGCTGGAAAAAGAAGAAAGAAATTGGGAAGGAGGCAGGGGGACCAGGGAGGGGGGATCGAAGTTGTCAGTGCTAGAGGTGTGAAGTGGGTAGCGGCAGAGTATGAGCAAAAGGGCGTTTACTGGTACGTTAGGTGATCTGCAGCTCTGTGCGGTTCTGAATATACTCTCTAATTATACTGGTATGCCGACTGATACCGAAAGTGCAGCGATTGTTTGATAGTTGGCGCTGTCCCGGGGCCTGGACATGACACCACAGGAGAACCCGCTACAGCTGCGCGGCTTTTGGCGAGTAAAGGAAACTATTGTTTATTGTCACAGTTATCCCTTTTCAGCTTTTGACCTTATTCATTAAATTGTTAAAGTATTCTTTCGTTTCAAGCCTGAATTATTAAGTTTTTGCCTTTAAGTATAACTTTTGCATATACTCCTCCCTCCCCTTTTTTTTGGAAACCCAACTTTGAATTTGTTTCTTTTACAGCCAGTGTATTTTGTATTAAACTTTATTTTGTCTATGGATGAAGATGACAAGTTACATTGTGAACGCAACTTTTTTTGCTATGAAAAAGTAATATTTAGTACATGTATCAAGATGTGCGCTTTTGTTGTTTTGAATTTCTGCATGCTGTGATTTAAATTAAATTGGTTACTACTCTTTGACATATTTTATACAAATAGTACATGTGTTAATGTCAGTACTTGCCATTTGCTAAAAAACAACAACAAAAAACATACAAAAGTTGACTCAGAATTGTTATTTCAATTTTCATTAACTTGAAATATAGTAAAGCAGGTAATTATCAAATCTCTTATGTATATGTGTATTATTATTATTAGACAAGCATTAATATTTATTATTTTCATAAGAGAAGCATACCATTGTACAATTTCTTAGTAAAAAGTTATATTTCACAATTTTAATCAGAAATCGTGGACATTTTTTTTAAGTAGTTAACAGCCAAAGCTTTTGGTGTTTTTCTTAAAATTAGGAAACGACATATAACTGATATCTTTATTTATGTTTCATGATTAAAACTTGTTTTATTTTGAAGAAGAGCAGAATGTACTTGAGAAATATACTTTTGTAAACGGAAACTGATAAAGCTTTTTGTATTTCACACAATTTTAGAATAGACAAAAGTGTCGAACATAGACAGTCTACAGAGAGACATGATTGTAATTGTAACAAAATGAGTGGCGATGTCCGAGAATTACTAGTACGCAAGGTCGTTGAAGAGAAATTTACAAATCATCAAGGTCTCCTGCAGATGGAAAGGAGAACGAATTTCAAGCTGTAAAGAGTGAAGCAGAGGCAGAAAATACATACAATAGCTATGAAGTAAATATTAGTGATAGCTCATGTGCTGGACAGCGGACTTTGTTCAAAAGTAGAAGCAAGTTTAAGGACAATAATTCTGAAACATTCAGAGTTCAAACAAATTTCAAAGAAGAGAGGTTTAGAACTTTTCCTCCGAAATTTCGATATAGGTCTCATGACATAGATAATGAACATGAAGACTGCAGCATTTTAAATAATGCTGATGTCACATTACCACTTTCAGAAAATGGAACCCCAACTTACTTGAAATGGGCAGAAGACCTACAGTGTCTCCTGCAAGATCTGGAAGGAGTGAATTTGTTTAAAAGATATTTAACTCAGGAAAATTGTGCAGATAGTCTGGACTTTTGGTTTGCCTGTGAAGGCCTTAAGAAGGCTAGTCCCACTGATGTGGATTATATTCAGCAAGTAATTAAATTGATATATAAAAAATTTATAAGATCAGGACTAACAGATATTAAACAAGGAACTAGAGAAGAAATAGCCAGTAAAATAAACACTAAAGTAGGGTTTGATCAAACAATATTTGACAGTGCTCAAAAAAACATTGAAATTATCATGACAAGGACAACATATCCCAGTTTTCTGAAGTCTGAGCTGTATCTTCAGTATGTTCAGTTAATGCAACAAAAGACTCATTTGGGATCAGCTAAACAAGTCGTTGATTTAGAATCTGTCAATGAAAACAATGTTAACTTCAGACAAGGATCATACATCTTACAAACATTACATGAAAATGCTGAACTCAAAGCAAGGCAGTGTCATGATGGGGCACTCCTGATCAGGGAAGCTTTGAAGCAGCAATCCAGGGTAATGAAAAATCTGTCTTCCTATCCATCTGAAGCTCAATCTGGGTAAATATCTTTTATCTTCTGGTAAAATAGATTATGAATTACATTATTTAAATGATTATCAAGATCATTTCTGAAAAAAAAAGCACTTTTTCTTCTAGTCTCCAAGAGTATGGGCTATTTAGCAAAAAACAGTTAATTAAAGCATATAATGAATTGAAAAAATCAAAGGTTGTGCCTGTTTTGTTTTTTGATTATTTTATGTTGAGAACAGTCTTTAAGAGTTTTCTGAATATCTGTGTATGATCTGGTGTGGTAAAGAAGAGAACTGTTATTTATTTTTAGTCTTTGTTTCTCAAACAAATACAATTTGAGTTCATTCTAAATGTGAATAGTTTGCGTCAGCGAGTCACGTGACTATTATGACGCAACGTTTCTAGAACTATCATGTACTTTGTCGAATGTTCAAG